AATAGCTTTTTATTAAAACAAAGAGTTCAAATCCTTAAGTGGAAAGAAAAGGTGTCATGACGTGACTAGCGTGAAGCACTTTCAGCTGAACTAGTTAATGTGACACTATTAATTTAAGGTGTTCCGAGCGAAGTAGGTTGACCTAAAACCGAGGGTAATAGGGTTCACTTCATTTGCCATTGCATCAAATTGAGCAAAGTACCTACAGAGTACCTACAAAATTATGGTTCAGTTCGGGCGTTGGGGTTAGTGGTTTGTCTATGCCGAGGTCGCGAGTTCGATTCCCGCACAGTACAAACATTTGTGTGCATGAACATTATTTGTGTTTATATTGGCCCGAGTGTTTTCTATATAGATTTACAAAAAGTTCTTAAGTACATTTATAACCGTTGTACTGGACCCATAGTACAAGCTTTGCTTAGTTTGGGACTAGAGGCGCAGTGTAAAATGGCCAAGGATAATAAAATTTATTATAATTCTTTTATTTAGTTAGTTTTTGTTGCACAGAACTGAAATTTATCGAGCATTACATCAATTTCAGGAGTGTAATTTGCTATCAAATCCATCATTAATGTGTGCCACATTTTCATTATGACGTAATGGAGATCGAGCTGATTCCTGAGTTCATGTTTAATTTATTTGTCACTATTGAAATCAGATGTCGATAAGTACGATAATAGTTTCATGAATAATATGGTAAATTCATATCAATAATATGAATTTACCATTAAATTGTATTAATCACTACAATTTTTAACGTTTTATTTATGACAAAACTATAGATGCTGAGTGTTCAGTCAAAACTGAATTTATTAAAATTAAACATTATTTTCAGGACATCTACTAAATAACAAGACATCTATTAAAGAAAAAGTAAAAAAAAATGCGTAGCAGGAACATCCAATTAAATTGGAATCATTACGAAATAAGTAGGATGTTTTGGTTCTTTCTACATTGCATTAAAATAAATCAACAACCGAATTAATTTTTAAAAGGGCGCAGTTCACATCACAAGTATCAGGATAACGAAGGTCCTTCAGTCTGTAGTCTTCTTAATGTATTCCGTGTGATCTTGCCGAGGCTTGTTTGTAAGTACATAAATATTTGTATATTTGTTTTTAGCTTAATTAAAGAATTTATTTCTTATACGTATCTACTACTAAATTAGTATTTAACAGTTTTTATTTAACGATTAGTATTTAAGTTTGTTAAAGTAAAAGAGATAGAAATATTAGACTTGGGTTTTATTGAGAGGTAGAGACTAAGAAACAAGTTAAGCGGCATTAGTGAAGTTTTAGCCAGGTTTTGTTACCGTGATTACTAGTTGATTTAAGTAATTTTAACCATTATTTTGAGTTCTGAAATACCTCAGACACCGTGTCTACTAATTGCTAAATAAATACTGATTTGTTATTCTGACTCCTTCACATCTGGATTACTACGCCAAAGGCAACTATGAGAATCCTTTCAAACTTCACAACATCACGAATTTGTACAAAGAAATACTCCGGTTGTATTAACACATTTTACACAGTGAACAACGTTTTGAGCATTTTATCAATTTGCACAACAACAACTGCACAACTGGTTTATACGAATGCTTCAATGTTTTAAACAAACTCCATTAACTCTAACGAAAACTACATTGATACAATACATTTAAGGTTTTCTCCTTCATGTTTCTTCATCTCTCTAGTCTCCTACATCGTTTTCACATTTGGAGTCCAAAAAGATATGGCTTAATCAAAATAATTTTGTCGAATTCAAAAACAAACTTAACAGTGTAGTTGAAATAAACGTTCTTCCTTATAATCTTACTGATGTATGTCGTTTGTAATAAAAAAAAGTATGACATTTTCTTAGTATTTACTGTTAATTTCACCTCTTCATTCGTGCTTTAAGAAAAGGGTTTTGTGAAATCCCATTTTCTTATAAGCTACACAACCTTATTACTCATATTAAAATGTTAGCACATCTTCCGTAAAAATCCTCAATAGGGATTTGAAAATGTGAAACTCAAAGCAGACAACCAACTTAAAAATTTACGATGAGCTTGTAGCCTAACGGAATTGGTAACGCTCTAGACCAGTAAGCCTTTGTTAAAACTTAAGAGTAGGTTTTAACAGCAACATTCTGAATTTTGTTTTCAAATTACTGCTTGCTGCTTGTCGGAGAAATGTTTTCTACAGAAATAAGAATGCAGAACTAAATTTTATAAAATTTAACGAATAAACCGCTTCGACGAGTGACTTGTTTATCTTATTTATTCCTCATTTCTAGTTATTTCCCAGCCTATTCCAAATGCCTGCACATCCAATGGGCCAACTCCTGAAGCTTGTATGCATATTTCGCAATAGTCTAGGAAATGAGGTTGAAATTGGTCTCTAAACGAGTTTTGCAATGATAAAGTTTTGCGACAGTTCTCCAACGTCAACGAAACTAGAAGCTACAGTAAGGCTACTTAAATAATGTATTTGTCTTTGAATGGTGATTTTAAAATATTATATAAGTTATTTCAAACTTAGTGCCTTGATGAGGATTGATAATAAACATTATTTTTATTTCTTCAATGATTTATCATTTCCTTTGATGAAATTATTCCAAATAGTACACAGTCATAAGAAAGCGGCAGACTTGTTCCACCTTGAACAAATAAAAAAGTTTACCAACGTTAAAATTTTGATGACCTATTTTGCTCCGAAGCTCATTAGATTGTTATAAAAAAAGAAGTCGTTTTGTATGATGTTGGTAGTAATAAGGTAACAAAAAAAAGTACTAGCATTAACTAGTAGCTATCTAAGTACTTTAGAAGTGATTATTATTATGTATGTAACATACTGTTGTAGTTTCAAGCTGAGGTGAGCTAAGACATTCGCAGAGCCTAAGGCGAAACTCGAACCATTAATAATACAAAGGGATTATTAATGTTTCATAGAAATGGAACGGTGGGGCGGAGCAAGGTGGAATGAACAGGACCAGTTAAAAGTAAACAGATTTATTGATTTAGGTCAATTACGCAAATGGCTCTACCTAACATACATTTATATTATATGGAATTAAAATGTTTGAACGATAGCTTATAAAGTTACCTTCAGACCTCAGGGAAATGTAAATATCTGAAATTTCAACGTAAAAACATTTTGCTCCCACACGACCAAAGAGTTGATGTGGAACTTGCTACAAACGCGTAGTGGCCTGTTTGACTTTCAAAATTGTGTACTGTTTATGAATTGTATTTATGTGTCTACTGTGTACATATCACACATTTGCTTGCTTGTTCTAATGTGGGCTAAAGCTGCAGGAAACTTTTGTAAAAAAAATAGCTTTTTGTACTGTGCTGTGGTGAATGCGAATGCAATAATGGTAGAGAAGCAGCCCGACTGTATAGAGAAAGATATCCTGATCGACGACACCCTGATCATCATCGGGTGTTTATTAGAGTGCATCAGGCATACCTTGAGGGGAGGATACCAGGTACAGACGTCAGAGGCGCAAGGGAAGGACGCCCAAATTTTAGAATTGGTACATGAAGACCCTACCACTTCAGTTCGTGCCATAGCAAGGAGGACCGGCATTTCTACCAGGACGGTGCATCTGGTGTTAAAAAGGCATGAACTATACCCGTATCATTATCAAAGAGTACAAAGTTTACTGCCCCGTGATCAGCCACTCCGGGTTGGGTTTTGCCAAGAAATGTTACTCATGCGAGACGACTCTACTCTCTACAATAAAATATTATGGACAGACGAATCATCGTGTAAAAAAGACGGATACTTTAACATGCATAATTTACACAGTTGGCAACTCGAAAACCCCAACCTCATAAGACAAGACAGATCTCAGTATCGATTTAAGATCAATTTATGGACTGGGTGAGGAAATAATTATCCCATTTGAGTTACCTGAAACTCTAAATGGTGAAAGATGCTTTAACTTTTTAAGTAACGAACTTCCCGAACTACTCTGAAGCATGGACCCGGAAGTAAGATCAGCAATGTGGCTGCAAAATGACAGATGTCCAGCCCATTACGCTGTCATCGTTGGAGAATTTTTAAATACAAATTATCCTCAACGATGGATTGGCCGACTAGGGCCTATAACATGGCCACCTCGGTCCCCTGACTTAAACCCCTTTGACTTCTTTTACTGGGAATGTCTTAAAGAAAAGGTGTATCATGAAGAAATAACATCAATCAACCAACTAAGAGAGAGAATCAGAAGAGCAGCCGAAGAAATAAATGCTAGCGGGTATGCACGCAGAATAAAACGATCTTTTATTAGACGGTGCAGAGTGTGCATAACGGTGGTCATTTTGAACATTTACTATAGGGCCTAAACTAAATGTTCACAATGACAACCTTTTGCTGAAACTTTAGGCAAATAAGTTAATTTTGTTCGATTAAGGGCTGATTTTTCAATCGTCAGATAACTTTTAACTAAAGAACAAACTTGTCATTTTGACATATTTCCCATATTGAAACTGTCAATGTGCCAAATTATTCTTCAGTTAAAAGTTATCCGACGATTGAAAAATCAGCTCTTAGTTTATGATTTGAGTTATGACTTTTGTTTTTTAATAAAGATAATTTCAGTAGATTGTTTTTCTGTCATAAGAAAGAACTAAATGACTGATATAAAAATTACAACACTTGTAATGTACCTGAATTGAAAAATTATTTTTGTTATGGATAGTCCATTTATCGGAGCACCACCACCCATGGTTCTTCCTGCCTCACGGCGTACGAACCGAATCTCGGGAGAGCGCGCGGGTACTTGCTCTGGGCTCTTTTCCCCGGGCGCTTTGCTTGACTCCCTACAAATTTATCTGATCCATGTCCCTTCTCATAGTTAATTATCCCCCTTCTGGGGCTTGACACCACAAATACGGTACTTCGCGCCGGGCTGCTATCGTTGATAAATGTTATCACTTCTTCTCATAACTTCGCCTGATTGTGTGCCAGGAGTGCGCGAACTCGCGCAGCGCGATCCAGTTACTGCGACTACTCGTGAGGTCCTGGTGATAAACAGGTCCTTGCTCGGCTCTCCGTATCGCATCCAGCATCTTCTCGCTCGCAGCATTTATCGGAGCAGACGAGTTCCCTGTACTCACACGCCAAGATCTGTATTGATTGCGCTTGGGACTTATCAAGTAAAACTTGCGCGTAGCTACTTATGCCGAACATATCCGTAATGGTGTATATCACATAGAAGTAGCAAGAGACGGAGTTCTAGATAATGTTGTAGATTTTGGCATAGAACCTCAACATACTATAAAAATTATAAAATTCATTTATTTTTGCAAATAGGCTTTAAAAAAGCGCTTTTATGTTGCTGCGCGCAAAGATCCAATCCAGGAACGCTTAAGATTGTATTACACCTTATAATGATTCATAGCCGAGAAACAATTTCCAACTATTATTGTTCATATTTATCTGGCATGCGAACTGTGGGTTGCCGTGCTCATGTAATGGTAATTGTATGGTACTTTGGATGGGCGAGACACCAACCCACATTTAGGCTTCTAGCTGCAAATCTAGACAAATTATTGTTAATGTACATAAATAATGGTATTTTTTAACCAAACCCATACATTGTTGGTTATTGTTTTTTCTTTTTACAATAAATAACCGGAAAATTGTAGGTCTATTCTAAGGTAAAAAAGTGTCGACAAATCGTCGCTATTATAAACCAAGTTGTAGCTGTGACACATGCAGCTGGGCATAAATATGAAATGAACTTACGTGCGTCAGTTGACGAGTGAAATATCATATTACTTAAGAGACGATTCGAGCACGTAGGTACCTACTTCCGTTCTCATGCAAAGTAATTCATACCTTATGAGGTATAAAATCGGTGCTCTTTATGAAGTGCACCGATTTTACACGAGTGAGAATGAATTCTCAAAAGTAATTATGTATTTTAACATTTTGTTTTCTTCGAACGTTTACTTAACACATTTAGTTCAAATCCCGTTAAGAAGCTCTGAACTAAACCCAATTGAAAAATTATGGGCTCTAACTCCACGCGAGTCAGATCGGTAACCAATTTAAGGGCCCAAGTACAAGAGAAGGTTTAAAAATAGCGACACCTGCTCAAATACATATAATAGCATCAACGCGTGAATGGTTCAAAAATTTTATTGATGCCAAAGGTACTACACCCACCAGATTCTAAATGTATTGAAATCACGAGAATTTAGATACTTTTGTTCAAAAAAATATTGTACATCATTTTATCACATACTCGTACAATGGCACTCACAATTTTTTTTCTCGGCTGTACCTTGACAATGGAAGCCCTTACCGGTGTACCAAATACTTTTTAAGACGATCCTGTCTTTCATCCATAATTAATAATTTCAAAATGTGTGGCTAAGCTTTGCCAAATATGAACTTTTTATTCTTCGAAATTGCGTGAATTCATCAGAATTCAATCAATCAATATGCGGCTAATATTAAATTATTTATCATAATATCGTCACTTCGCCTTCTCGGCTCCCCGAACCAATGAACCATATTCGGATTTCATTGATGAACTAATGAATGAATTTTATAAAAGAACATTCTGAACTATCTAATATCTGATTATGGGATGATATCATTATAGTACATTGCAATTGCAATATTTTGACTAGGATTAAGAATTATGAGAAGTCCAGAATTTGCCACTTTATCACCTTTTTATCGGTTCTCTGTTCTCATAGTTAGAACCTTTAAAAAGAAATTAAATACTTGTTGCTGTCATACATTTTATAAAGTAGCTACTTTTGTGTAACGGTACTTTTCAACGGTTTGATTTTATTTGACGCCTTTGTCGCGCCCAAGTAACAGGATTTTATTACAGTTCCAGCCGTCAGCGGACAATGGCGTACCGTTTATACGTTTCATCGAGATAGGTCACTGAAATCTTACGGTAACAAGCTTTTTTTCGGCCTTGGAGTCTACGTTCACTTTTTATTGATCGAAAAACTCACGTGCTACCTACTTAGATGTAGGCAGACGTTGTTAGTTGTCACCTCGAGTGGTTAGTGATCCTCATCGTCACATTGTTTCGTATACCGTTTCTGATGAGTTTGTCATTCACTTTTGGATTGATCAGGATTCAGTTTAGTTGGGCGTATTTATCATAGGTATTTAATCTAAATCACATGTCAAAATATTCTTTAGATTCACGATCTAGGTTTACTTAAACCTGTCCAATTTTCCCAAAGTCTACTGCAAACATTGAACTTTGCATATTATGATATAGTCCGCGTCAATATTAGACTTAGATACTAGCAATTTTGCAAACAAAATGTCGACTAACATTGACATAGAATTGTATAAGCCCCTTGTGGCATGCATAAATTATATCTTTATTACTTTGTAAAGTGCAATAATAATACGATCTCTGAGATAATTCAGTATTTTATTCAATCTTTTTTTATTATTGTGTTAGGATACTTCGTACACATACAAAATTGCTCATTTTGCTGAAACTATTGGAGTGGAATATGTATACACCTGGACCTTGCCCAAACAACAACTTTGTGACCTACAAAATGGGTAAGCCAAAGAAAAATGGAGTGTACCTTACGCGGGATGTCCCTGTGGATTCGGAATTTCGGGTCCCTAATAAGGAGATACGCAAGCGAAAAAAGATCTCGACGCGGTTGGCCTCGACCAAAAAAATGTCGATGGGCTCACGAATCCCGCAAGTGTCGATCGGTAGAGAACAAAAACTGTATGATTATCAAGAACATAACCCAACAAAACTAAAAAAAACCGTCAAGTGCGAGTCGGACTCGCGCACCGAGGGTTCCTGTAGGTACATTATAACTTTTATTTTGTTACAGCTTAAAGGTATTATAGACTTGAGTATTTAATATGAAATTCAATTTAATACCTTTAGGCGTTCATGAGGAAAGAGTAGTAAGTTTAAAATTATTAAAAATACAGTGTGAGTCACGTTAAAGTGTACATATGAAAATAGATGAAACTAGAACTATTTTTATCGACAAAAAAGAGGTCAAAAAATATTTGAGATTTTTTTTCAATTTTTTATACATTTTTTTTCTTCCAATTACTTATTGTAAAGAAAACGTAATAACTTTTAAACTAAGCGGTATATCCTGATAAAATAAAAACAGTAACAATGCTAAATAATAGGCAATACTAAAAAAATACATAAAATACACAAAAAAGGCCAACAAATAATAAAAAATGATACTTTTTGAAAAAAATCTGCTTTAAAATTCGTGTTTTTTTGGTTATTTGATAAATTTCTCCAAAAAATGCCCCTATAACAGGTGGTTTTTATTACTTTGTATTATTCTCTATCGTATTATCTTTGTAAAACCAAAAATCGCATGTCTCTATCCCTATTACAACATTTGCTATGATCGTTTGAACATAGGCCTGCCACAACATTTTTCTCCGCTACAGTTAGATACAATTTTAATTTTAACTAAAATGCTTATTTTACTATATTTTTTTGAAATCTTTTGTTTTTATTTGAAATCTAACTTGTCTTTATCAAAATAACAAATCTAGAGCCATTTTCAGTTTCGTTGTTAACGAAGCGTTGAATGGCGCGCCCGGAGAGGCTTAGTTCAAACGATCATTGCAAACGTTGTGATAGGGATAGAGNGACAACTGGTGACATATTGTATCTGGATAACAACGATAGGAGGACTTCATGGTCAACTGTGTTAAAGGCATTGGAGAAATCAATGAGTACAAGCAATGTAAGTTGGCCATGTTCCATTCCCATTCTGATGTCTTCCGTCACCTTGAGCAGTGCAGTGCTGGTGCTGTGGCCAGGACGGAAACCGGATTGGAAAGGACTGAGGAGGTTGTTTGTGAATATGAGTTTGGACAGTTGGGAGTGAACAACCGCCTCTAGGGTTTTTGAGAGGAATGGTAATATGGATATGGGCCTAAAATTATTTAAGGTGGANTTCTCCGCTACAGTTAGATACAATTTTAATTTTAACTAAAATGCTTATTTTACTATATTTTTTTGAAATCTTTTGTTTTTATTTGAAATCTAACTTGTCTTTATCAAAATAACAAATCTAGAGCCATTTTCAGTTTCGTTGTTAACGAAGCGTTGAATGGCGCGCCCGGAGAGGCTTAGTTCAAACGATCATTGCAAACGTTGTGATAGGGATAGAGGCATGCGATTTTTGGTTTTACGAAGGTAATACGATAGAGAATAATACAAAGTAATAAAAACTGCCGGTTATAGGGGCATTTTTTGGAGAAATTTATCAAATAACCAAAAAAACACGAATTTTAAAGCATTTTTTTTCAAAAAGTATCATTTTTTATTATTTGTTGGCCTTTTTTGTGTATTTTATGTATTTTTTTAGTATTGCCTGTTATTTAGAATTGTTACTGTTTTTATTTTATTAGGATATACCGCTTAGTTTAAAAGTTATTACGTTTTCTTTACAATAAGTAATTGGAAGAAAAAAAATTCTATAAAAAATTTAAAAAAAATCTCATAAATTTTTTGATCTCTTTTTTGTCGATAAAAATAGGTCTAGTTTCATCTATTTTCATATGTACACTTTAACGTGACTCACACTGTATATTTATTATATGATATAGCTAAAAATTACGGTTTTCGCAATTTTTCCTTAATCTGTGCTATAAGACGCTGTTTTCTGCCAAATTTCAATATTCTGAGTTCACGGGAAGTACCCTGTAGGTTTTGATTCCCTTACGAGTGTCGAAAATGGCGAAAATTTGCGGCATAACGGCTGCATCTTTTGATTGCGTTGGCTTAGAAGTTTGATTTTTTCACATCTCCAAGGGACAGTAGATAGACCTGAGTATTTGGTACAAATTTTAACTTGATACCTCCACGCGTTCTTGATAAAAAGGATGGTGACAGAGGGACGGACGGACGAACAACAAAGTGATCCTATAAGGGTTCCGTTTTTTTCTTTTGAGGTACGGAACCCTAAATAACAGTTTACGAGACAGATGATATTTTATTAAAATGTTTGTTAAGATTCCAAAATGTATTTGAATACTCTGTAGGTGGGGTAGAAGGAAGATACACACATACCAAGACAACTGCCTAAGTAAATAGTAACTTTAACAAACATTTCCAATATATTGTTTCAAATATTGAACAAGCATAGCGCCCATTCACATTTCAGAACACTAAAACAATTTGAAGGCTCACTTTTGTGGTCAAAACCAAAATATATTTATTTTGTACAACATTTTGTAACAAT